GGGGGGGCGCGGGCGGAATCGGCGCCAGGGTTTGGGGGGGAGGGGGGATGGCGGTCGTGGTCGGTGGGGGGGCGGGGTAGCGCTTGTTTTTTCCGAGTTGCTCTCCTGTAACAGCGGATGCAATTCCGTTTCCAAGAAAGGGAAAGGTAAAAGTAATCAGTCAGGCGGTCTCCCCCATGTTTCTCTCTCTCTCTCTCTCTCTCTCCCCCCCCCCCCCCCCCCCGCCCCCGGATCAGGTCGAAGTGAAGGAGGCAGACAAGTCGAAGCAGGATGAGGTGTTGATGTCGGCAGCCATTAGCCTGATCTGTGAGTGGGCCCAGCGGGTGCTGATGAGGCAGTTCGACACGGTGGTGGACTTGGCTCGCTTCCTGGTCAAGGAGCACCTCATCAGCCCCAGGACCAAGAATGCTGCCGTGGTGATGAAGGAGCTGATGAACGGTGAGCGGCCGTCCTGGGGCCATCGGTACCACCTCCAGCCTTCCTCGTCAACCCTGGTATCTGTACCCCCACCCTCTCCCCCCCGCCCACCTCACCCCAGCACCACCGCAAACCGATCTCCCTGCAGTTCCCAGGAGATGGGACTGATTGGCCTCGTTTCCACTAGAGCGAGGGCCAATGTAGTTGAAGTGTAAAAGATCTGCTGGGTGGGTCTTGGTGACATAAGACCCACAGTCATAGGAGCAGAATGAGGCCGTTCAGCCCTTTGAGTCCGCTGTGCCATTCCATGAGATCATTGGAAGACCTGATCATCCTCAACTTCCGCTTTCCTGCCTTTCTCTCCCAATACGCCTCGATTCCCTTCCTGAATAAAAATCTCTCTGTGGCAGCCTTGGGGGAGTGGGAGGTTTGGTGGGGGTGAGGGGAGGGGGTTCTCTCCAATGCCCTAGGCCCAGTGTGTTTCCCTGCTCACTGAGGGGGGCTGAGTATGTAGCTGGGGAGAAGCCAGCAGGGCAGACAGCGTCTGTGCTGAGAAACACAATTAGTGTTTCAGGTTGATGGCCTCTCACGGGAGTGGGAGGAGAACGGGGGACACACTCCCGTGGGGGGGGGGGGGGAGGGGGGAGAGAATGGGAGACTCGCTCCCGCGGGGAGTGGTGAAGGACAGTAGCAGACAGCAGTGAAGGGGGTAAAGCTGGTTAAACATGAAGGAGAGAGGAAAAGAAGGATGGGGAGTGTCAGGGTGTGAAGAGGAGGAGCCTGGTATAAAGCTGAAATGGTAACACAGATCAGATGGACCAAATGGCCTGTTCCTTTGGCGAGAAGTCCCTGTGGGAGTGAAGTGGAGGAAGGAACGGGAACACTGACGGAGAAATGTTAAGCGGGTGTTTTCTTTTAATATGAAGTGCTTCCGTTTGCAACTTTCTCCAATCCCTGTTCCACGTGAATTTTGTTTAACTTGTAGAGAACATTCTGAAATCGCCAAAGAAGACAAAGTTCCAGCAGCAGCCCAGGAACACAGGTCAGGATGGTGAAGAGAAATCACCAGTCTCTCAGGTGAGGGCCTGATATCAACTTCCCCAGACCAGACCCCCTCAAAATATTTTAAGAAGGTAGCCCAGACCCTAACTTTTTTTCTAAATTTTTAAGGCAAATGTAACGTGCTATGTTCCTGATGTGACTGGTCAAACTCCTCAACATTAAGCAAAACACAAATTTATTTAAGCGCTATTGTTAAAACCAAAGAAAGAAGAATTTAGAATAATTCAACTCTATTGGAAACCTTAATAGAACAATAGATACAGTACCTATTACTGATCAACAGTTCCAAGATAGCAACATCCCATAAGTACACCCTGTGGCAAAAACGCAAATTCAGAAGACCATGCTTTGTCTCGCATGCAATCCAGCAGGCCAGGAAAAGAACCTGTGGCTTTTGCCTGTTATTGAGAGAGGGGAAAGATTGTTTCCACTTCCTCAAGGCCCCAGATAAACCTAAACACTTTTTCTTAAAAGAAAACCTAGAAAGCCTGGAATGTGAGGGCTAGCCACACCCATTCAGGCTGTTTCTATTGCTCTCTATTCCAAAAAAAACCCCAAAGCTCCCAAGCTGTTTACTCGAGCGCTTTTGGTAGGCAGCTCTGCGCCTCTGCCTTACAACCTCTCTCCCAAAAAAGCAAACCCAGGACAAAATAAGCTCTAAAACCTACAGCGTCATCACAATCCCCAGCCCCCACCCTTCCCCAAACGGGCTGGTTGGGCCTGGGCTTCTCCCCATCTCCACCACCCCAAATCCCTGGCTCTTTGACCGACTGTCGTAGGTGGCCTGTCGGTGTCGACCCAGTTGAAGTCGGCTGCGTCAACGCAGAATCGGGAGTTTCCCCGTGGGCTGTGACCGCTGGCTCGTGTCCTTCAGTGAGTTCAGTTTCTGTCTTTCCCAGAGACGCGGCAGTGTGCAAAGACGCGGTTCAGCCCATCATGTCTGTGCTGGGTCTCTCTCCCTCTGTGTGTGAGAGTGTGTAAGAGAACTGTCCCTAAAACAACCCTTCTCCCAACCCCTCTTCCCCCGCTGCTGCCTTCTCCCCATAACCCTGCACGTTCTCCCCTTCCAGATAACCATCCAATCCCTCATCAGGAATATAAAAGCAGGCCATTCAGCCTGTTGAGCCTGTTCCACCACTCAATGAGATCATGGCGGACTTACAGCACAGCTCTGTAGTTGGCTCATTTCTCTGAAACTTTTGTTAAGTGAAGGGATTATCTATCTCCAGTATTAAATTAACAACTGATCCAGCAGCCACTGCCGCTTGCGCAAGGGAGTTCCAAATCTCTCCCACTCTTGATGTGTGAAAGTGCTTCCTAACATCTCTCCTGAACAGTCTGGTCCTACTTATCATTCTCTGCCCTCTAGTTCTAGAATCTCCAGCCAGTGGAAATAGTTTTCTCTTTATCTGCCCTGTCTTTTCCTGTTCATATCTTGAAAGACTTCAATCTGATCAGCCCTTAACTTTACATATTCCTCAGAAGATGGGCCTAATTTGCAAAGTCTCTTCCCCCGTAACTTAACCCCTGAAGTCCAGATGTCGTTCTTGCAAATGTATGTTGTACCCCCTCCAAGGCCATCTCTCCTTGCTAAGGTGTGGTGTCCAGATCTGCATTGTACGGCAAGCCTCGATCTATCTCCAATTTGAAATTAACAGGAGTGTGAGGGAATACCCCCCACTTGCCCTGGATGGGGGCAGCTCCGACAAACACTCGAGAAGCTCGACACCGTCCAGGGACAAAGCAGCCCCCCCTTGGATTGGCACCACATCCACAAGCACCCACTCCCTCCACCACCGACGCTCAGTCGCAGCAGTGTGTACCATCTACAGCGACTCCCCAAGTCTCCTTAGACAGCACCTTCCAAACCCGGGACGTCTACCCCCTAGAGGGGGCAAGGGGCAGCAGATACATGGGAACACCAGCCCCCTGCAAGTTGAACCCCTGATTCCACCCGCCCCTCCCACACATACGCCATCCCAACTTGGAAGAATATCGTTGTTCCTTCTATTTCATAAGGTCTAACTTTGCTCAAGTCTGTTGTGTGGCACTGTATCAGACACCAGCTGGATGCCCATGTTCACCACATAAGCAGCATTACCCATATCAAGCTTCTCTGTTACTTCAAAAACCTCCCAACTTATCTAAACACTCCCTTTCCTCTTGACACCTATATGGCTTTTGTAAATTAACTCACATTTATCTACCAGACTATTGATTCTGAACTAACTTTTCTTGAGGCACCTCACCGTCAATGTTAAAGCCTTACGGTTCCGAGGATAATATTTTGAACAGGCTGGGGTGGAGGGGGGAGGTGGGGAGCGGGGCGATGATTGCAATTTGCTGCTCCTGTATTCACGAGGAGGAGTTGTCCCATTTATCCCTGGCTCAGTATTTGTCCCCCTCCCAGCCCGCACTTTCCAGAGAAAGAACAGGATCATTTTGTGGGATCTTGCTTTGGACAGAATGGCCACCGCGGCTCCGACCTTACAACAGTGACGAAAACAGAAGTCGCTGGGAAAGCTCAGCAGGTCAGAAGAGTCACCGGACCCGAAACGTTAACTCTGATCTTTTCTTCACAGATGCTGCCAGACCTGCTGAGCTTTTCCAGCAACTTCTGTTTTTGTTCCTGATTCACAGCACCGGTTTTTACAACAGTGGCATTTTTAAAGTTCGTTCACAGGATGAGGGTGTCACTGGCTAGGCCAGCATTTATCGCCCATCCCTAATTGCCCCAGAGGGCAGTTGAGAGTCAGCCCCATCGCTGTGGGTCTGGAGTCACGTGTAGACCCAGAGCAGCCAATAGGTATTAAAATCACACCCCAGTACAGGATCACGTTGTAAGTTGGACATTTGTAATCTAAAATCACACCAATATATAGGAACGCGTTCAGGCTTCTGACTTTTCTGACTTAAAATGACACCCCTGCATGGCATCACATGATAAGTCTGACATTCCCATAATGTGGGCCATGACTTCCATTGTCTGGGAGGCTCCTTTGGAAGCCCTGAGGTGGGGAAAGGCACTAGGGAAATGCAGGTATGTCCCTGTTTTCACTGGACTGTAGGTGTCCATTTTGTGAGCCTCCTTTGGGATTGTGTCGGGGAGGGGAGGTGCGGGAAGGGATAGTCGCCTGGGGCAGGGAGCTAAAGTGGGTCTCATCTTTGTTTATTTTCTCTCCCTCCCCCAATCTCCCCCCCCCCATCTCCCTCCCCCCATCTCCCCCCCCCCTTTCTTCCCCCCCCCCTTCCCTCTTTCTTCCCCCCCCCCATCCCCCTCTTCCCCCCCCCCCCCCCCCCCCTCCCCCCCCCCCAATCCCTAACTCCCTCTGTCTCGCCACTGGCAGATGGAACCCTCCAAAGGTGGTAAGGATGAACGGCCGGGAGCACCGCGAGGTAAACAGCCCGCCGCAGTGGATGTGGACAGTGTCATTAACCGCTACCCCCCCATCAAGCCCAAGACGCAAGCCAAGAACCTGTTGGCGATCCCGGCCGCCCCCTGCCTCTCTCCGGCTGCCTTACCCCTCCGGGTGGCCGCCCCAGTGTCCCTGGCCCTGTCACCGGGCAGTCAGCCCTCTGGGGTGGTGGTCACGGCAGCAGGCACCCTCCCCCTGCTGAAGAACGTGACTGTCCTCCTCCCCGGCGCGGTGCGCCCCCTGGCACCCGAGGGGGGCAGCCCGGGAGCAGGTCCTGCTCTCCCCACCCCTCCCCAGCCCCACGAGCCCCCTCCCCCACCCCCCAAGGCCGAGCGGGCCAAAGGCTGCCCCCACCCCTCCCCGAGGGGCTCCCCACCCCACAAGCGAGCGGCTGGTTCCCTGGGGGAGAGGCTGGCCTCCAAGAGGAAGAGGGGACGGCCCCGCAAGGTGGTGCCGCCGTCGCCTCTGAGTGAGGTGCCGGGGGCCCCTCCCCCAGAGCCCGGGCAGCCGCCGCCACCTCCCCCTCCCCTGCCGCCTCCCCCTCCCTCCACCACCCCCACCCCCACCCCCACCACCGCCTCTGCGTCGCCTTCGCCACCCGCCGCTGCTGACAAGCCCCCGGCCAAGACAAGCGAGCCATCGGAGCAGGGGGCCCGCAAGACATCGGTGATCCGTCCCGTCTGGTGGACCGGCGCACCGGGGAGCAGGAGGACGAGATCGCCAACGCACAAATCCCCTGCCCATCCCCAATGACGGCGGCTTGCTTCCCCCCTCAGCCCCTCCATTGTCAGCTCAATCCCTGGCCTAGAGAGAGGGAGAGGGCGGGGGGAAGAGGACGCTTGACATGTGCACAGCAGCCGCAGCTGCCATCCTACGCCTGGGCCCAGTATCCGGTTCAACTTCCTGGGGGCTCCCCCCCCCCCACCCCCAACCTCCGAGTTGAATTTTGCTGTCCTGGTGTTCAGCGGACTATTGGAATGGCCGATCTGCTTAAGGACTTCTCTTACTGTTTTGTTTTTTGTTATCTCCACTTTTATTTTCAACCAGTTGATAATTTTGATAATTTACACGTCCTAACGTTACTGTAAATATTTTACCGGAGAGGGGGAATAACCATCAAAACGTTTGGGTAAAAAAAAGGCGATGCAAGGAACAACCCTGGCGACTTATTCTTTTTAAGAGGTAATAATTCCAGATTAATCTCCGCCGGATGGTCAGTATCGCAGCCTTGAGTCTGCTCATCGCGTCTATGTGTTTCTGCCCCCTTCCTCGGTTTCGCCAAACAGTCTACAGAGTCTACTTTAATGGAGAGGCCGCCCATGCCTGCTGCAAATGGTTCTCCTGCCTAGCGAAACGCAGTGGCTGCAAGGTGAACAAGCTGGCTGGAGAGAAATCTGGTCTGGCACAGGGAGCCCAGGCCCGGTTTTGTAACGTTTTGGGTGAACATGCTACCTCTCCATGTGCAGGTCAAGACTTGGGAGCACAATCGCGACTGCCTGTCTCTTTTTCCATAGTGATGCACGTGTGTGCACATGCTCACACCTACACCCATCCCTCTGACCCACCCTGGCACCTTCACCTCTTACTGAAATGAAAAGATAGGCTGCCCAGTGCAGAAGACAAAGGAAGCACTGATGGGTAAAGGAGAGATTGAGATGTTAGATAGGTGTAAATGATCAGGTATGAAGGGAGAAAAGGAGTCTGCTCTGTTGAGAGCAAAGTCAACCAGACGCGGTTGTGTTGGTGGGGGAAGGGGGAGGGGGTTGGGGTCATTTGGGAACATATAAGGTATGAAGGAGGGAGGACCTGCTCTGAATTTCAATATTGAAACAGAGAGGCTGTAAAGGGCCCAAGTGGAAAACGAGACGATGTTCCTCAGCTTCGTCGGAACACCCCAGTGAGATGTTGGCGTGGGTCGCAAGGTGGTATTGAATTAGAACAAAAAAAAAGAGATTCGAAACAAAGGCAGAAAGTGCTGGAGAAACTCAACAGGTCTGGTATCCTCTGCGGAGACAGAAGGCAGAGTTCACAGTTCGAGTCCAGTGACCCTTCTTCAGAGGCTGATGGGAGCTTGGAAACAGAGATGTGTGTGTGTATGTGTTTAAATATGCTGAAGGCAGGCTGAGGAGGGGGAAGGAGTGGATAGATAGGTGGCGATGGAGGTCTGAGAGAGAAAGTAAGACGTAAGGCAGACTAACTGATGGTAAGCCAAGGAAGGGGAAATGCTGATGATCGGGACTGTATGGGTTGGCTGTGCTAAAGCCAGGGCC